TATTTGTCTGTGGTTCAACATATGAAACCCAGGATTGACAAACCCAGAGAGAAAACAAATAGAATAATTGTTCTGGGGGTATGTATGATGGGGTAGGTGGGGGGCTGATATCAAAGAGTTCAAGAATGAAGAAAATGTTTTGAAACTGATTGTGGTAGCAATTGTACAATACTGGTTGATATGATTGAACTATGGAATGACATGATGTCTGGATTAGCTCCTAATAAAATGGTTTGGCAAAAAAAGAAAGAAAAGAAAAAGAAAAGGATTTGCAGTACAAAGCTTGGATCACCCTATTTCGGCCCACTAAGAGTCAAAATCGAGTACAGTACATGGCAGTGAGTGAGTGTCTGCTAATGCGCAGGAGGCCAGGTGCCGCAGTGGTTAAGGTGCTCGGCTGCAATAGAAAGATTGGCGGCTCAAACCCACCAGCTGCTCACAGTCCAAGTGAGTCTCCTATATAGCCTTGAAGCCTCATTTCTGCTCTGCCCTATGCGACTGAACACGGAACACACACACGTTCCTGAGCTTGTCGGAAAGAGTAGGGCGTAAGTATATTTGAAAACGCTAGAGATTTTTGAAATGCGAGAGTCGTCGTGAGTCATCTAGTTTAGTTCTTCCCTTTAAAGCCACATCTTCCAGACTCTCCAGACACAAGCTTTGGGGTTCATTCAGCCCCCTTTCTTCGCAAAGTCCAGAGCTCTTTCACTGTTGCTCTCGCTGTTCTAGACAGGTAAGTGCCAGTACCACCCCCTACCCCCTTTTATCGTCGGGGAAACTGACTCAGAGAATAACGGCGCCTGGCCTAGGTGGGGCGGGGGCTGTAACGGGAATTCAGGGCGCCGGGCCAGGGCGGAATTTATTGTTTCCTTTTGGGAAGCACGAATGTGAGCTAATCGACTTAAGGAGTCCCAGGCGGGCCCTCTGCCCAGAGGAGGATCTGGATGGGGTCGGGAGGATTAACGCAGTCCGAGCTCGCGGCTGGGCAATGACCCTTGGCAATTTGTTGAGGTGAGGTTCAGCCTGGTCAGCCGCCCTGTCCCTGACAGGGTGACCAGTGGGCTGTGGTCTCTTTAAGGCCTAGGGTCCCGCCTCCCGCTCGTCGCCGACCTCCTCCCTCCTCCTCGCTCGTCCTCCGCCAGTTCCAGACTTCCCTGGGCGATGAGGTCATCTCCTCGCTGCCCATTGGCTGGGCTGGGCCGTCAGTCACAGGAAGTCCCGCCGACGTCCTCGCCTCCTTCAGTCCCCGCCCTTTCCCGCCCTCCCACAGTCTGGCGACTTTGGGTTCTGACAAGGCCTCTGATTGGCCAGCGCCCGCTGTCACTCCCCACGCGACGGCGTGGGGCGGCGGGAGGCGGGAGCGGGGGGCGGGCCCGCAGCCGTGGTAGCTGAGAGAGCCGGCGGCGTTGGTGTCTGAGGTGGCTGGGCAGCAGCGGCGAGAACGACCGTCCCATCCTCCCCACCACCTTAGCGCCGCTCTCCTCACGCCTTCCACTCGCGCCGACCTGGTCCCGGCTCGGCGCGTCCTGGCTGGACGTTAAGCCTCGGGAGAAGACCGGTGGGGAGAGCCGGAGTGGGACGGAGCCGCGGAGCCCGGCCAGGAGACGAGCGAGGCGGTGAGTGAGAGTCCGGCCGGGACCCCTCCCCCACGCGCCCGGCCCCGCCCGAGCATCCTTTCTCCCCGCGCCCCCGCCGCGCGCGCCCCTCGAGTCCATCCCCGCCCGCGCGCTGCGTCCCTCGTCCCCCGCCGCCCGGCCGCCAGCCGTGCACCCTGCCGCGCTTGGCAAGAAGATGGCGGGATCGGTGGCCGACAGTGATGCCGTAGTGGTGAGTGTGGCGGGGCGCACGCGGGGCGCCCCCTTCCCGCGGTCCCGCGTCCGCCCGCTGCAGCCAGGTTGGGGCGGAAGGGAAGCTGCAGGCCGGGCCCGGCGCCCCACGAGTGGGGAACCTGTTAACCAGAGCTACCGTGCACCGGAGGGGTGGGGTCGGGAGTGGGGGTCCCCGGGTCCGGAGACGAGGTGTTAGGAGGCCGACGGCGGAGATGGGGTGACGGAAAACCCCTTCCTTGGTGCCCTGCAGCCGCCGGCCAGGTGTGCGTGCGCTGCACGGTGTGAGTGTGCGCCCGTATATGTGTGTGTGTGGGGGGGGGGCGCGCCTCGTGCCCGCCCCCAACGTCCCGGGGATTTCCCTTGGAAATGGGTCTACATCGGAGGCTCCCGGGAGAAGTTGAGCGCTGTCGCCCCGCTCCAGCCACGTCTTGGGGAACAGGCCTGGCGACAGTGGTTCCCAGAAGCGTGTGTGCTCAGGGAAGGGCCTGCCCTCCTCTGGCACCCAGCTGGGCCTCGACCTTGATATTTGCCAGGATCTGGAGAATCTGGGGATCTTCAGAGATTTGCTTAGATCGGGGGGGAGGGGGGGGGCCCGCACAGCTTTTGTTCTAAGGGCAAGTTGCGTGGTATAGAGACTGTGAGGAGGCGGCATCTGCCGACGGTGGCGGTTCCTGCCAGTCTGTGGAGGACGACTTGATTCCTCCAGGTTTGTTTAGGTTCGTCCCCGCCCACCCTCACAAGAAACGACTATGGAAATCGATTATCTGTTCTTCTATTTTTAGAAACTAGATGATGGGCATTTAAACAACTCCCTGAGCTCGCCGGTCCAAGCAGAGGTGTACTTCCCACGGCTGGTAAATGATTTGGTGCTGCCCTGGTGTGTGTCTACCCTCCTCCTTTACGTTCTCCACCCTCGTCCTTTCTGTCGGGTGCACTTCCTAATGGGCTGGGCCCTGGGGAGCCTCGGAGGGCTTGGCTCTTCCCTAGGCAGGCTGTTAAACTTCCTCTTCCCCTCTCATCCTTTGCAGATCGTTCCATTTTGCGGGCACATTAAAGGCGGCATGAGACCAGGCAAGAAAGTACTCGTGATGGGTATCGTAGACCTCAACCCTGAGAGGTAAGGCAGAGTTCTGGTCCCGGCCCCAGTGGCCAGTCCTGCCCACTCCGCTTGTGGTTTGGAGCCCTTCCCCCTCCCCTCCTCATGGACGCTACTGCTGGCTGGAAGCGCCAAGACAGTACCATGTTCCCATGAAAAGAATGTGTATGGATTCCAGCCATCCTTTCCCCAGACAGCTATTTATATCAGAGATGACAAATATAGGCCCACGTTTTCTCCATGACCCTTAGGCAGGGTCAGCGATTTGTTAACTTTATTTTTTAAATGTGCTTCCTAACTTAAATCTCCTAATGGAATGAACCTAAGTACATGTTCAGAGCCAGGCCTTACAGGATGTTATTCCCTTCGTTAAATCCTGGGACCGATTTCGAAAATTCAAATGGATTAAGACACGGATGTGTGGGTGGTTTGCGGGTATTTGGAACCCTTGGCATTTTAGTCATTGTCAAGCTCCACCAGCGTGTTCGCAGAATCCTCCTTCAGGTCACCAAATGAACTGGGTTGAATCTAATCTTCCTTCTCAGCCTAACCTCCAGAAAAGGAGGTTAAAAAAGCAGAAAGGCCCCAAGAAGGGGAACGGAGAACAGGAGCCGTGTCAACGTTGTCCTACCCAACCCTGAGTAAATGAGACGATTTCCTTTTCAGCTTCGCAATCAGCTTGACCTGTGGTGACTCAGAAGATCCTCCAGCCGATGTGGCCCTTGAACTCAAAGCTGTATTCACAGACCGGCAGCTACTCCGAAACTCTTGTATATCCGGGGAGAAGGGTGAGGAGCAGTCTGCCATCCCTTACTTTCCGTTCATCCCAGACCAACCGTTCAGGGTGAGTCTCGCAAGCGCCACAGCTTCAAACGCTGGCAGAGTGAGAAGATGTTCTTCTCCTTATCTAGCGTGTGCCAAGAACGACTTCAGCAGCTAGAGTTTCTGCATGGCCAGGAAATTTGTCACACAATGATGAAAGAAAGGCCATCCCCCTGGGGTGGGGGGGGGGGTGTGCAGAGGGGAGAGAATGAAATTATAAGAGTTCTGTCTGTTGATATAAACTATAGCCCTTGGCTCTATTTAGCCAATACATCTAGTTAATGGACCCATACGTGCATGTCCGGCTTAGGATAAATATTTTCTCTATTGATTCTGTCTATCCAGCGCAACAGTACTAGACATACAGTGTTGTTGTTAGAGGCCTTGAGTTGGCTCTGACTCACAGGGACCCCTGTACACAACGTCAGGGAGCACTGCCTGGTCTGCACCGTCCTCAATTCTTATTCTATGTGAGCCCGTTGTTGCAGCCACTGTGTCAGTCCATCTCATCAAGGGTCTTGCTGGCCCTCTGTGTTACCAAAGCAAATGATAGGTAAAATGAGAACACCAAACCCTTGACCAGGTAGTAGATTCTGACACACGGCGACCCCAGGTGTTAAAAAGTAGAACTGCTCCGTAGCGCTTCCTTGGTTGTAATCTGCATGGAAGTCTATTGCCAGGCCTTTCTTCGTCAGCACTGTTGGAGGATTCGAACTATCAACCTTTAGGGTACTACTTGATTCCAAAACCACTTGCACCATCCAGGGACCCATATAGTGCATACCTGGCCCCAAAGAGCCAATTAATTAATAACTGTGGATCCGTATCCAGAATTTTCTTTATATTTTTGTCTCAGCCTTGAAGCAACGCTATACTTTATTACTTGTGCTTTTAGAGAATATGACGACTCCCGGTTCATTTGCTTTATCCCCTTTGTTTGTGAGGCCTTTGGACATACCATTTTGTTTTCCCTCTGAGTTAATTGGCCTCACGTCCATTTTATGGTCAGAAGCTGTTTGGCTGACAGCTTCCTTCCCTTGGGCCTGGGTGAATTTAGACTTGTTGCTCGCTCTCGCAGGGACAGGAAGCCCAGCTCAGACTGCCCACCCAGGCCAGCGTGGTGAGCCGCACTTTCCTCTGTGAAGAACTATGCCCCCGAAGAAGCTGGGAGTTAGTAAAGTGCCTGCTAAGGGTTTGCTGAATGCTGGAGCTAGTCCTGAAGTTGCCTTCACTCTGCCTCGCTGCTGTGCACGCAGGTGCCCTGGCGGCCATCCGAAAGGTCAGCCGTTGAAAACCACCAGCCGCTCCTTAGGAGAAAGATGGATCTTTCTACTCCTGTAAAGCGTTTGTCTTGGAAACTCACGGGAGGAGTTCTACCCTGCCCTATAGGTCATTATAAGTCAGCTTCGACTCGATGGCAGTGAGTTTAGGTAGAGAATGTGTGCGTATCCTGACCGTGACAACCCAGCTGCGTGGAGAGTTTTGTGTCGGCTATAAGCCTAATCAAGCAGACTTCCACTTAACCTGTTGCTTTTCAGCTAAGCGTTTTCCAAGGGCCTTATGAAGAAATCATCATATCTCTTCCCATGGGACAGTCTGGAAAGCAGGGGACAAATCCAGCACATGTCCGGGATCGCATGATCCCCTCAATGACCAGAGTTGGGGTTCTGTTTTGTATTACTTTTTTTGTCCTTGTACTCATGACGCTGAGGAAAGGACCCATTAGCCCCACTGCTCTGGGGAGGTAAGGTCCCCGTAGATTCCTCTTGGCTTCGGCAGTCTCTTAATGATGAATCTGCATGCCTAATGGGTGTGAGTAACCAGAGGTGCTGGCCGCCAAGAAGGATGCGACTGCTCCCCAGCAACAAAGCTGAAGTGGAATAGGCCCTGCTGGGTGATATAATTTTAGTAATCATATGAATTAAATGTGACTAATATCGCATGTGGAGTCTCTTCTTACACGGTGAATATCAATGCTTTTAATAAACATAAGCGCACAAGTGATCATTAACTTCTATGGAGAGTTACTTAGGCTAAGGAAAAGGAGAGGAAAAACGCTTTTACCCCATGAAATCAGTATGTCTGCTTGGCTTAACAAAGCCTAGTTAATGACACATCTTTGGCCCATGGTAATTACCCTGCAGCCCCTCGGCTTTGGTGTTTACCAGCGGGAGTGCCTCACAATTATTACATGCCACAACTCGGTGCTGACTCTGCCCCATGAGGAGCCCCTGGGTGAGTAGGGTAGAAGTGTTCTGGGGATGTTGAGTGCCATGCGAATCTAGGCTGCTTGGGGTCACTTTCTGGAGTACTTCAAAAAGGAAGAAAGGGTTAACGAACAAGCAGTTTGAAGTCACTAAAAAGTACAGGACAGTGGTTCTCAAGGTATGTTCCTACCCCTGCGACATCAGTATTAACCTTGGGACTTGGTGGCCATGCAGATTCTAAGACCACATCCTCCCCTGGCTGGCAAGTCAATTCTGGCTCATGGCAACCCTGCAAGTCTGAGTAGAACTCCCCGTAGGACTGCCACATCTGTCTGCCAAGGTTCTGCAGGTGGGTGCGAACTGCTGATCTCTTGCAGCGCTGCACACTCAAACCACTGTCCCCACTGGGCTGACAATGGTGGTGGTGGGAGCCAGCCCCTGTGTGCTTCCAGTGTTTCCTAACGTTTGAGAAGCACTGGGGAAGAGGCTGCCTTTCTCCCCCACCCTGGCCCCCAAACTGAGCGATGGCGGTTTCCTTTTTGATCCCCTCAACATTGTGGATTGAGACTGGACTGAGATTGTCCGTGTGTTTCTTACAGGTGGAAATTCTCTGTGAGCACCCCCGGTTCAGAGTGTTTGTGGACGGACACCAGCTTTTTGATTTTTACCACCGCATTCAGACATTATCCGCGATCGACACCATCAAGATCAACGGGGACCTCCACATCACGAAGTTGGGTTGATGTCCTGTCAGCCCCCTCTGGTTCAGAGAGGGTCAGGTGCCACAACACTCTGACTGTGGGGCTGGAAGAATCGTCCTAGCGAGGTCTGGGGACGTAACAAAAGACACCACAACCCAAACAGCAAACTTCACTGAGTCTCCTCTTTCTGTACAGTCAACCCAACCTGGCAGCGGCCCCCGGGGGGTCTGCCTGGAGGAAGACAGCTGTTGGTTGGCACAGAGACACCGAGCCATCCTCTCCAGAACAAACAAACGAACAGGGAGGGGGGTTAAAAAACAACCCACAGATTTATGCCGGATTTTATTCAGACAGACTTCACCCACATGGAATTGTGATTTGTCAACCATCTGGTCATCTCGTCAAAGTCAGATAATGTTTTAGAAACAAAAGTGCTAAAGACTTTTAAAGCAAAAAAAAAAAAAAAACACAAAAAAACGGTACACCGAAACCAACTATCCTTTCTGCACTGAAGTGGAATCGTCTAGCACAACCAACATTTTAGTCAGGGTATTTACATAGAATGTAGGTTGTTCGAGGTTGGTTTGTTGGTGTTTGTTTTTCTGTTTCTGTTTTTGCACAGCATAATGTTAATTCCGATTTCTGAGGCCTCCTCGTAATTATTTATTTAGATTTCATGTACGTACTGGAGGACGGGCAGTGGCTCCAGACATTTAGAGCAGCAAGCTGCCAACTTTGAATGTGCAAATAGTTTAGATCCCTGGGGGAAATGACACAACACAATCATGAAACTGGCGCATTTCCACCTTAAAAAATGGAGTCAGATCCTCCATACCTCGAAACTTAGGATTTCTTGATATAAATTGCTATTAAGTGCTTTTGGGTAAACTTTGCGACATTTAGATAAACTTGGCTTTTCCGGGAAGTTCTATTTACATCGCTTTTTCTCCGTACAGTGAATTAGCACAGCACCGGCTTCCCTAGATTTGCAGAATAGCTCATTAAGTTGTTACTAAATTAGGTGAACACACAGAAGAGGTGGTTGCATAGACAATTTTTTTTGAATGACTAGCCTATAAGCTTAAAAGTATAATCCGAAAATGATTCTGGTATGTAGTGTAAAGCAGACGCAAATGGCCCAGGTAACCTCCTTGGAAATTCTTTATGTCAAGTTAAGCTGTTAGTTCATTGTGTACCTTCTCCTACACAGCCCTCACCAACCTCCCTCAGCAATGCCTCTGATGCTTCAGCCTAAAGGATGCATCTTGCTGTGTTAATGCGACTGACATGTTAGGATAAAACCAGGTCCAGATCAGGAAATGATCCAGTTAGTCTCTCTGGAAGGTTAACATCTCAGACTACTATCTTTGAGTGCAGCCCACAGAGTGGATGCTTCGCATATAGCCGCAGGAGTGTCCTTCTGCTGGAACATCTCTGTCCGGGGGAAACCCCGCAAAACTGTTCAGTAGACTGGCAAGCCACGAGGCGCGGGGAATCCTGGGGCTGGACTCCACCAATGGCACAGTTCATGGAGAGAAGGACGCTGGGCATTGCTTTGGTCAGGTGGTTGGGGAGGAGAGGGGAGCCGGGGCGGGGGTGTATTTAGATATACTTTAGGTTTTGTTTGTGCAGTAGACTGCGGCTTGCTGTGTGCCATGTGCTTGTCCCGCCTTGCTTTTTGAGTTTGTTTGTTTTTTACACAACATGCAGAGGCACGGGAGTGGCTACGTCCTTTTCACGTGTCAAGAATGTAGACAGTGTTTCAGTACCAAAGTCTTAGAGAAACAAAGCAAGCTCAAATTGTGGATTGCTTTCATGGGTGATAATGTGGGGTGCTTCTCTGCCTGGACACTGTTGGGCGCACGCAGTTCCGTGGTGCTGTAACAGAAGCTACATTACCCAGCAAGCATCCCCATCCCGGGGCAGTGAAAAACTAGGTACTTAATCAGCCTTATTTTGGCCAAGAGAGCTATTCCGTGGCTCCATGCATTTTCCAACACGTAATTCAACTTCTCATGGGATTGAAAGGGCGCTAGATTTCAGTGTTTGGAGAGAGACCTAAAGGGTACCCTGATACTCTATTTGTCGGGGTTTTGATTCTACTTCCGGTGGACAATTCCCATGGGTGGTCCTCCTGTGAGTGGCCCAGCCTCCCAGCCTGCTACATAATTCAGCGGAAACGAGAGGCACTGGGAGTGTAACTGATTGGAATGGACACCCAGCTCTCCTACAGATCAACTAACTCATTAGCAGGCAAGCCCTCAGGCGGCTTAGCTTAAAGACAGTGTTAACCCCTTCGTTTTTCTCAGCGGTCACTGGGAACCTCTTGGATCAGCCAGTTGGTGTGTGGGTTGGATTCAGGTATAGTTAAATTAGTAGGGATCTCCCCCAGCTGCGATAATTGTTCACTGTCAACTGTAAACAATTGTCACATCCTGCCATCGGCACATGAGACCTAAGGTGGGAATCTCAGGATGGAAAGTGCAATTTAAGGCTTCACAAGGAAAACATTTGGTTCTCTAAGGAGTTATTTCTGACTGGAGCCCTAGTTTCGCAATATGACCAAAACCAAGGTACATGACCAACAATCATACGCTGGGCAGGGGGTGGGGAAGAAAAGGCAGGCTTTAGACAATCTGTCCGTTTTTACAGCAAAATCGGAATGAATGTGTATATCCATTTTCAAGTTACTATAAAGTGATCCCTAGGATGGTCTTAAAATTCTTAATTTTTAAAAAATGTTGAAGCCCTATTTCCAATCTTGCCGACTTCCGTTCAAACTCCTTTAAGAGATCACTCTGAGAATTGGTGGAGATTTGTTAAAATGACGAATCGTGTCATTTTTATTTTTCATGAGAATGTCCAAAAAAAACAGGAGGAAAGAGCCCTGTTGCCTTGAGAGAAACAGCCTTGACATTTTTCGGCATTCATGTAGAAATGATGTTCCTATGACATATTTTCAAAGAAACACTTTCTTATTTACTGCGTGGTGTAAAATGTTGCTAAATGTGTTCTTACATTACTATATCACTGCTGAAAGTTATTTGCACTATAATAAAGGCATTTTCTACAAAACCGCTTCCTGTCATCTCGCGTGTCAAACTCCGCACCTGTGATGGTGTACGGGGAGGCCCTGGGGCGTGCAAAGGCTAATAACATGCTCAGCTGTTATCCAATCCACTCAGGTGCCAAAGCAGAAAGGTTAGCGCTTCAGGCCCAGCCTGAGGCTCCGCAGAAGAAAGTCCTGGCAAGCTACAGAAGAATCCGCCATTGGAAACCCTATGGAGCGGAGCATAGTGCCACTCTGACACGTGGGCTCCCAAGATTCAGAATCAAAAGCAGCTGTGTTTTTATAATGCCCTTCCCATCGTCTACCTGGCATAGTGGGGTCTCCACCTCAGTTGCTCACAGTGATAAACTCGTAAAAGGTAAGGAAGTGTCCCAAGGATCCTCAGAGATCGGAAGGAACATGCTGAATGTGCAGTCAGTTCTCTCTAAATATTTATATAGAGTAAAAATCACTTTTCTTGTATATTTCTGAGTTGTAACTCATGGCTTTGATTCGCATAACCACCACTTGCATCAGGATACAGAATCCTATCCAAGACAACCCCCGGATGCAGCTCCTTAGTAATTAAACCTGCTGCCCTCCATGAACCCTGGTAGCCAATGATAGGGTTTCTGTCCCTCTAGTTTAGCCTTTCCCTAGAATCGTCTACTATGTTATCTTTTGAGCAGCCCTGGTAGCACCATGGGCTACCGTGGAAGGAGACACAGCCCTGTCCTGACATCCTTGCCATGGTTACCATGTTTCAGCCCACTTTGGGAGCCACTGCATCAATCCCTCTTGTCAAGCGTCTTCATCTTTTTTGCTGCTCACCTACCAAGCAGGATATCCTTATCGAAAGACTGGTGTCTCCTGATTACAGGTCCAAAGGACACGAGACAAGCTCTCACCACTCTTGCTTCTAAAGAGGCTTCTGGGTTCACTTCTAAAGTGGATTTGTTTGTTGCTTTAGCTGTTCATGGTATTTTCAACCCTCCTCTCCAGCACCCTACCCCAACTGCAGCAATTCCTCAAGCTTCCTTGTTCAATGTCTAACTTTCACATGCATATGAGGCAATAGAAAATAATAGGGCTTAGGTCAGGGACACTTTAATCTTCAAAGTAATTCCCTTGCCCAAACCAAACTCACTGCCATCGAGGCACTGTCAACCCATAGCGACCCTGTAGGACAGGTAGAACTGCCCTTGTGAGTTTCCAGGACTGGAACTCTACCTGAGTAGAAGCCCCGTCTTTGACTCATGGAGTAACTGGTAGTTTCAAACTGCTGAGCTTACAGTTAGCAACCCGATGTGTAGTCCCTATGCTACCTGGGCTCCTGCCGGTGGAAGAAAGGCCTGGCAAAAGGCTTCCCTGGAGCTTGTAGCTGAGAAAGTCCTGGGGAGCAGTTCTCCTCTCTGACCCGCGAGGTCACTCAGTGGGACTCGACTGGACAGCGACAGGCGTTTCTTTTGACTTCGCTTTCTTGCCTGGGGTTGGAACGATTGGGAAAAAGCCTGGATCATTTGGCTGTTAACCCATGTGTAAAATCGTATGCTGTTGGACCTATGTGTAAAATCGTATGCTGTTGGACCTATGTGTAAAATCG